GCGCGCGCTCCAGCATCACGATCAGCGCGGCCTTGCCGCTCGGCATCGTTCGATAAATTCGTGAGAGATTTTTTCCTTTCTTCTTCTTCGTCCTTTATTTTTTTCTTTCCTTCCTCTTCCCTTTCGAGCCGGCCCGCGCGTTCGCGTGCCCGCCCAGGATTGTCAGCACCGCAGAAAATCCACCCGAAATTCGGAACCCGCCTCACAGTGGATCGAGTCAATAGAGGAGATTGGACAGGATTCGGGAACCTTAAAAGCTCATAACTCCGTTCATACAGCAATTTGAGATAATGAAAGTCCTAGTAAAATTGCCCTCTAGAAACACCCCTTAAAATGTCTAATGTGACGAATTAAACATCAAAATTTTCAGCTTTAGGCCCATCAACGCTCTGGTGGTCGAATAGTTGCTTCGCATTCTGAGCGTAGTTTGTTTTCATTCCGATGTTATTTCTCCAACTTCTGCGACTTCCGTTGCAGGAACTGGCCCAGCGAGTTGGTACGTTAAGTTCGCCTTCAATTTCGAGTGATACTGTGCCACGCTCGGGTGGTCGAATAGTCGCTTCGCATCCTGAGCGTAGTTCGTTTTCATTATGATGTTATTTCTCCAACTTCAGCGACTTCAGCCGCTGCAGGAATTGGCCCAGTGAGTTGGTGCGTTAAGTTCGACTTCAATCTCGAGTGATACTGTGCCACGCATGGATTGTCGGATACTTCCTTCGCGCTTTCGTATGCCAAGTATAGGTTGATCCCATTTTTATTGTCATCCCTGAACGCCTCACCGCCTCTAATGTGCTCGACGCGACCTTAGCATCCAAGGCGTAAGTGGTCAGAAAATTATCCGTCGGTAAAGGGCAAGATGGGCAATGACCACTCATCGATAAAATAGAAATCATGAGTATTAAGGTAAGAAAAGACATCATCGTAATAAAATTTCATGCAACATTCGTTCACGTGATTAAAATCTCTGAAAGCAAGTCGTGGATAAAAAAGCTGCGTTTATATGTAGTTCAAATTCAATGCGGTTCGTTTAAACTAGAAAAAAAAACAACCAAAAGCTAGTAGGTTATTAAAACAATTTGACAATTCAATTCAATTTCAATTTGTAAATTCAATGACTTTCTTGAATTCCATGTTAAAAAAGTTTCACTTTTCCTTGATGTTCGACTACTGTCGAAAAAAAAAAAATCGGAGGAAAGTTTTTCATCGTTAAGTGCCCTGTAACTAAACCAGTTGTAGGTTAGACTCGAGCGGACTCTGGTTAGAAAATTTGGCATCGCTGGACTCTAATAGGTGCTGCGTTAACGTGTTGACACTTGATGGTGACATTTTACATTTGCAAAAGCATCGCGCTTCAGTCTGTGCCACGTCTAATCTGCTCTCGTTGCCAGATCGTGTTCAACACTTGTATGAAAGTCCAGTGGCGTGGCGTACTTTGCGATTAATCGATTGATCTGCCATTCAAACCTATGGAAAATGATCGATTAACAGTGTGTTCGCAAAAAACACCTTCGTAATCGATTCTTTACAACAGCTTCAAATGGGGAGATATCGGTAATCGATCACTCACGCCTTGCCACCATGAAAGTCCTACTGAGATATAATCCTATGTTTGAAAAAGGAAGTCAAAAAGATCTGAATTTGACTCAATATCAAGAATTGTGACAACACACAACTTTCACTGATAGTCTGTAACAAACTGAACAAACTCAGGACGCACATAGCGTAACGCAACAGGAAGAAGGAGAGAAAATAATGAATTACATTTTGCGATTTGGAACTACAATTTTTGGCTCATCCGGATTAAACTTGTGCGAATAACGAAACTACTAGTGCACGCATGCGTTGTTTCTGAACTGAGTGAAAACTTGTAGTTCCTAATTGCAAAATACAGTCCATTGTGCTCCTGGCATACCTGTTTGTGAAATCCACTGACAAATTCAAAGAACTTGCATGTACATTTCTCTCGGTGATTTTACTGGTCTGCTGGTCTGCTGGTCGAGCACTATCAGAAAATAGACCCTAACACGTAAATGGACCGCAAAAAATTATGCTGGTATCATGTTCCATCGAAAAACGTTTGGCTTCTGAGTGACTTTAACGCTTGGATGTCTGAGGTCAATCCGACTCGAGTTGAAATTCGCGAATGCATCTTTTTATTTGCGCTTGTTTCATAGCTTTTGAGTCATGAGCACAAATTCGCACTCTCAGGTGCTATTCAGAACTTTTTAAAAACTCTTGGAATTAAGCAAAAGGGCTCAGTAGCTTTTTTTGCAAACGTCAGAAAACAGGTCCAAACAGATATTATTTTGATGAAAAACTTCGGTGTTGTTTGGCGGGTTTTCTGCCGGCTAAGGGCAGAGAGTCCTAGCTCCAAAACGCGTCCTAACAAACTAAATTCTAGTGCAAGTGAGTGCGCGAAAGTTTTAACTCATTTAATTTTTTAGATATCATTTGCTTGCATCTTAGAGACCAACAAATTATTTTCGTGGGAATAGAACAGGGTTCAAACTCTTAATACACTTTACCAAAATAACCTCAGGAATAAATCTAAAATTATTCGGGAACAATATCCCTCATTTTCGGAACCATTGGCTCTTGCATGCAGCAACGATCTTTTGCGTGCGCCTCCGGGTATCATTCGGTCATGGTTAAAATATAGTGCTTGACAAAAATATCAATTAAGGTGATTCGATGTACGCCATATTTTGTGTCGAAACGACTTGCGATATATCGCATCGATTGGTTCCATTTTATCAGCAACTCATGAATTTTTCTTGAATTTTGAGATCGCAATTCTGTTGTAAGGAGACTGAAGAATTCACTTACCAATTTTGACAAACAAATTCAACGTAATATAGGCGTGGTTCTTTTCAGAGAGAAAATATCGCATTCGAGTGCAGTTTCGATATCAGTATTGAATGCGATATTTTCTCTCTAAAAAAAACCACGCCTTTATTACGTTGAATTTGCTTTTCAAAATTGGTAAGTGAATTAATAAGTCTCCTGACAACAGAATTGCGATTTCAAAATTTGAAAAAAAGGACAAGTAGCTGAAAAATGGAACTAATTGATGTGATATATCGCATGTCACTCTGACACAGCGTCCATCGAATCACCTCAACTATAACGAGTGGAATATAGAATTTCATTCTATAAACAAAAATCCATTTTCAGTGGCGGTGTAACAATAAATTTCCACAATACACTGCATATCGACGGTGAAACTACCAAACCACGTATCTCGTTTGCGGTGTTTAAAAATCTACGCTCACATTTTCTTTTTTTGAAGTAGACCAAATCAATATCATTCCTTGAAATTTTCACAGAATTTTCTGCGCACGAAGAGGAAAAATCACGGGAATTTTCAAGACTGGACGTTAAGTAGCTTTTCATTTAAAAATAAAGTATGACAGGAAGTCTGCGACGTCGTAAACCGAGATACGTGGTTTGGTAGTTTCACCGTCGATATATGATGATAGGTAGGGATCAAATTTGCAACAGCACACGTGATCGGATGGTGACAAATTCATGAAACGCACACATTTCCGGAAACTCTCGGGTCGGTCCATTTTTTCCCGCCGTATCCGTTTACAATAGGCGTAAAATTGCATCTATTCATTCTCTCCTCCTGCTACAAGCGTGAGAACCACGAGTTGTCCTACGGAACCATGACAAAAATAGACTGCAGATGCAAATATTTCCGATTTATTTTCTTTGAAAGAACAGGTTTCATCTTTATGCATCCATTTTATATTTGCTTTGTCAAGGGAAAAATTTACATTCTGTGAAATTCACAAAGTACGTGTTGTGAAATTGAATCAGGTTTACTCCGTCCACGAATTCACTCGCAAATAGTTTGCTTGGTAATGATTCTGGAAGTATTGTTGAAACTTGATCAGGGAAATGCCGCTCTGTCTTCTCATGAACCAACCTGCACTTAACCAATACATCGTCCTCTGTCAAGGAACCGCTCATTCGAATACTTTTCTTCTCTCTCTCATTCAATTAAAGTTGAATGTGCTCATACCAGGACACGTAAAACACTTGAAAGTTTTTGCTCCTCTTATCTCTACTTTATGTTAGTTTTATGTTCCTTTTTTATTTTCAAAAAAAGAGACAAATTTGAGCTTTCAGCCGTTTTTCTCTTTAAGGATATGTGGACTCAGGCCGTGCTAAAAAAAAAAAAAAAAAAAAAAAAAAAAAAAAAAAAACCGCTCATTTATGTGCGATTTCTCCGATCAAAAAATCTGGCAAAAAAAAAAAAAAAAAAACCGTATGCAAAAAGTATGCTTGAATTTATGGTCAAAATGCAAACGTTTCGGCCGTGACAATGACGTTCATCAGTGCAAAGAACGTACAGATAGGAAAATACCTACTGGAAGGATGCATTCAAAAAACAGAAACAAAAAGCCACCATAGGTTGTTACATGATGTTAAAATTGCAAGTCAACAAAAAATGAAAGCAAAATTACAGGCAAAATTTGTGAAGCAATAAGGTCAATCAGTCGTAAGGATAAATCAGAGTTAAATCATAACCTCACAATACCTGATCACCTGAGGTTATGATTCAACTCTACTTTAGCCTCACGACTGATTGCGCTTATTGCTTTACAAATTTTGTTTGTAATTTTGCTTTCATCTTTTGTGGACTTCAAATTTTAACAGCACGTAGCAACCTGTAGTGCTTTTTCTTTTTGTTTCTTGTACACATCCTTCCAGTGTTTTCCTATCTTTGTACGTTCTTCGCACTGATGAAGTTCATTGTCAAGGCCGTTTCCTTTTTCACCAAAACAAATTAAGGTAATTTTTTTAATTTAGATATCCACTTGCCCACGTTTTTTCAGCATGGCCTGAGCTCAAACATTATCAAAGAGAAAATCGGCTGAAAGCTCAAATTGGTCTCTTTCATTACGAGTAGCCGAAAATCGAATAATTTTTTATTTTTCTGAGTATGATTATGTAATGGATTTGTCATCTACTTTTTCATCATGATTTTACAGGAAAAATTGCTTTACGACGGATTACTTCAAAGGCTGTTTGGAAGTTCTGTTGCTTGAAGATGAAATGGAAAAGATACAGACGTGGATAAAGCAATTGCATGGGGCCGAAAGCGGGGTTTAGGTACATTCCCAGTCATTTCTCCTCACAGGAAAGCACACATCAGCAACCTCCACCTCAAGTCCACCTGAGACTTACTTTAGTTGCATGGATCAAATTCAGCAGAACAGTTATATCACATTCTGTTTCCTTCTTCTTTTTTTGAAGAAATAATTTTCAATCTCAGTTGCAAAGAAACCATCAAATCTTAGTCCACCAGACGGTGATCTGCAGGCAAAACGCGAGGTCCTAACTCTGTTTAAAACCGATCCCTAGTAGCAGAATCACAGAAGGAAAAGATAAATATTATGGACGAAATTTAATTTTTTTTATATAATGCATGCATACAAAAGTTAAAAGTGAACATTTTTATGTAACTATTATATGGACGTAGTTCTACCAAACAGACCTATGTGCAAGTGAGAAATGTGGGGTGTGCTCTTGGAAGCTGGATAAGAAGCAATGTAAAAGTGGGTGTGGTTCCTTTTGAAGAATTGGAAAAGCGGGATGTTGCATTCTATCAAAGAGACCTATGTGCAACTGAATGCGGAACTCATGAGCCGCGGGCATGGCAAGAGAGCCTTGTGCTTAGGGCTCACGAGTTAAAGCGCCCCGACGACCATCTCCCCGTCGTTAGAGTGCGCACTCATTGCCGCTGACGTCACTGGCGCACAATTATTCCCATTCACTCGCCACGCAAAGAGAACTAACGAGCACACCCCACATTTCTCACTTGCACATAGGTCTGTTTGGTAGAAATACGTCCATATAAAAAAATGTTATAATTTTTGTGAGCTTTTCGTGAACATACTAAAAATTCGTTACAAAAAATGTTCACTTTTAACACTTTCGTATGCATGCGTTATATATAAAAAAATAAAAAATGTGTGTATAAAAAAAATTACCTTATCTAGCTTTTATCATTTTTCATATATTACGGTCAGGTCTGAACTTTGATTTTTTTTTTATATAAGCGTTACACGTTTTTTATATAAAACGATCATTTAGATAACAGATGTGTTTTTTTTATACTTTTTTTAGAAAAACAAAAATTTGTTCTGCTACTAGGGATCTTAAGGGAAAAAAACTTTCTCAACACGCTGATGAAAAATGATATCACGTGAATCCAAAAAAAGAGGATAACACGAGTGGTGTAGGTCCACAATTATATAGAAAGATAAGGAAATCACTGGACGGAATTCATAATTGGACAGCGAGTATCCACTTGGTGCTTGGTATCGTTATATTTAACTGAAGTATTCACAGTTCTAGGTCTCGATTGAGGTTGAAGGACCCTCAATTTTAACAAATCGGTTTTTTCTGCGCTCCTCAGTCAAAAAAGTTGGATAAAAATAAACTTCAGTCACCTTCAAAGCGCCGCAAAAAAAGACCAGATTCCTCGCATGAGATAACATGCATCGAGTTGATCTGTCGTTTCGAGCGGTTAAGTGTAGGTAATTCATCAAAGGCACAACTAAACGGTGCATGGGTGTCTCACTCAGTTGACCTTTGAAAAGTCGACGTTCTCTTTTATAATATGCTGAACTGGAATGAGGAAAGATGCAGCTGTGTGCTTTCCTTTGTTTTTACTTTACGTTTTAGTTTTATTTTTATTTTGACTCGATCTTACATGTTTTTTACTTTTTTCACGATTATTATTTTTATTATTTTCTTCAATTCGTTTTTAGTTTCTTTGTTTTATTTTTTTATTTCTTTTTTGATATGACATTGCCTCTTCGCAATCTAAATATTAAAAAATAGAACCACCAGAAATGAGGTGGAAGAAAAAAGTGACACCCGCTGAAGGTCGTTCCAAATACCTCTGCAGATAAAAAGACATGAATGTTTTATTTGTATACAAAAACGATAGTTCGATCGATGATGCAAAAAGAATGTGAAGCATCTAACCTACTTCTGTGTCTCCTGCAGCAGAGGAATTTGTATTGATCTCATCACCACAGTTAAAATTCAGAAAGAGAGAGTGACATTTATACATGGCAAAATTGTCCTCATAAATGTTGGCTTTAATGACAATAAAGTTCCAATGAATATAGTGAAGTGAACCGATGGGATATGCACTCTTTTCCTTTCAACGTGCAATTCAAAAAAAAAAATTCAATTAAATTTGATTTCACATACTTTCACGGGATGACCTGAAAAGATATATACTAGATGAACTTGAAGGAGCTTAAATACACTCCATGCCGAATTTATTTTTTTTCCTTTTGAATTACAAATGCATTCTTCCACCTGAAAATGTATAAATATACTTATAAATTTTGCGTATAGATCATTGATCGTTGCTCCTGGAATTAAAAGAGTCATTTAAGAGGCATTTTAAAGAATGTTATAACGGGTTTTGCCACTTTTTTCATTTTAAGTAAATTATTTTTATTTTATCACATTTTTTCCAAGTTTTTCATACGTTTAGATTATTTTTGTTTCCACCCATTCATTTTTGATTTTTGATCCCATCCCGAAATGATTTTTGACTGGGAACGATACTCAAATTTTGACTTTTTCCTTTTTGAAACTTTTTGGAAATTTTGAACGGCGAATTCTTTTTGATTTGCTTTAAACCTTCAAAGTGAGTATCGTCGTGTCGAAATATTTGATCCAGAGGTTCTTATTGGCTTGAGTTTGTATCTGCCGTATTTTAACCTTCGTTTTCATCTTCTTTGATTTTAAAATTTCGTGAATGAGACTTTTGAATAACAAGCAGGGGCTCTTTTTATATTTTTGGGGGCTGAATGGTCAAAATCTGCCAGAATTTCTACTCAATATCAAGACCGGTTTTACATTTTTAGCGCCGCTATGCTAGGCATGAGCTTCGTTTCGCACCCCTAAAAGTAGGTGATATTGTGGAGGGGGTGGGACACAACCCCCTTCACCCAAAGGGTTTTCAATTTGTAAGCACTTGCGCTCTAGAATTCTCAAAAATTTTGCGCGGCGTGGCGTGTTTTGCGATTTACCTGCTATTTAAATCTATGGAAAAGGATTGATTATCAAAGTGTTCGCAGCGAACACCTTGATAATCGATTCTTTACTTCAGCTTCAAATGGAGAAATATCGATAATCGATCATTCACGCTAAGCCACACTGGAAAAAAACATTGGATCTAGATTCCAGACTCTTGAAAACATTGACAAGAAAAAATACTCTTGATTCAATCGGATTTTTGCTTGAATCAATACGAAACCCGCGTTTAAGTTAAGAGGCTTGGTTCTTGATTTAAGCTAAATTCTGATTGAATCAAGAGTATTTTTTCTTGTCGATGTTTTTCCGAGTCTGGACTCCAGATACAATGTGTTTTTTTCCCAGTGCACTGTTGCTCAATGTATCTCATGTTAGTTCGACCTTGCCCAAAACCAGGGACAAATCACCTTAAATCGGTGCGATTTCTAGATTGATTTCATTTTGAGGACCTCTGGTCGAATTTCGACGCGACGATATCTCCTGGCGTATGTTTTTCCTGGCTGGCTCTAAGTGGGTCGTGAACTTTGATTTCAGAAGCGGATGTTTCACCTCGGAGTTTTTCGAAGCATGTCTGGAGGCCCTTCTGCTGAAGGAGGAGGAAATGTCCATTTACAGGAAAGTGGGCTACCTGCGTGAGAAGAGGAACTGACGAGAGACACCCCCCAGGACGTCTCCATAGTGTCCCGGACCGAGACAAAAACCACATCACACTTATTCATTCTAGTCTGATTTGGACGGCCCGGTCCAACCCCCGCCGTCCATCTCTATTATTCTAAGTTTAATCATTTTTATTTTATATTTTACTTATTTAAAAAAAAAAATCATAATAAAATAATAAAAAACAAGCCTCGCCATTCTTGTCTAGTTCATTCTCCTCTACCTTAATATTCAGGGGGACAAACCCCTTCGACAATAAAGTTGGCGATCTTGCCAACGTGCTTTGAAATTCAGTTTGTAACTGAAATTCTTATCGCAGAGGCAAAAATCTCATTCGAACACAACTTTTATCCATGCGGAGATGCTGTTTGCTGCAATACTAGTCGGTATCAGAAAATCAAAAAGTTGCGCTGCACTGACAATGGGTCTTATAAAAATTTTTTTAGTTATATTCGATATAATTCTGTGGATTTCCTAGGAGTGGAAAAAACCTCCTGCATTTTTTACTCCAACTTTTTGCATCATTATATACATATACGAATTTCAGTAAATTTGCCCATTAATAATGCATACTCCGTGAAATCATACTTTTTTCTAAAAGCCCACAACGTGCCCGAACATGAAGTCTGAATCACCCGTCAATGTTCTCTGCGCTGAGGAAACTTCTGGTCATCACCGTAGTCAACGCAACATCAACTCGATAATCAATGAGACACAAACGCCTTCAATGATCAGCGTATAGGCAACAAAACGTGTTCGTCACACGATGAAATTGCCTACACGCAAACTTGAAGGGGCTCCATATTTCATAAACGCCGCGAGATGCAATACAATGCACTGTCGTGGATTAAAAGTTTGAAAATCATAAATGCAGTAGACTCCTTCTGTTAATGTAATTGACAGTAAATCAAACCAGATTTTTTCTCAAAATGTGTTATTTTTTAGTTTTTCTACGGGTCTTCCGCCTCCGCTGCGCTCCTCTCACCGATTTCCCGAGGGAACACAAATCTGCCGCGGGAAGGGAAAAGGACGTATGAACACCCGCAAGTTGCCGAAGTTCCCCCTTTAAAAATTCAATTTTTGAGATAAATATTTTGAATATACTTAATCGAAATTTTCAGATAGTATAGATCACAAAGAATTGGAAGAATTATTTAGATTGCAAAGAATATTATCTGCACGGAATTTAACTTGCTGATTTAACAATTTAATCGGTAAAAAAAGAGACTGCAATATTTCAACGAGGATTTCACAACACGAAAATGCTACTTTTATCCACCCCCGTGGTTAAATTAGCTTACAATAGTGGTTTAAGTAGCATTTTTGGGTTGTGAAATCTACGTTGAAATATTGTAGTCACTTTTTTTTGGCAATTTAATTGTTAAATCAGCACTTTAATTTTTTCCGTGTGAAAAATTGGACGGATTATATGCACACATTTTCCTGTAAATTCGAATTACACAAAAAGAAATCTGGAGATCTACGAAGGTTCATACGGCGTTCTTCCTTAGTTTTGCGGAAATGGTGGCAGTTGCCTTTAACTTCTGAATGGTTTCTTCTTCTCCTTCTTTTCTGAAAAGCTTTTAACTTTCCACTAGCTAGGGTAAAAATAGAAATAATTCAAATTCGTTCGTAACCAGTTTATTTTTATCGGCGTTGTCTATGACTATGTTTATAAATATCTTCGATGTCCTCAAGAGTTTTTCCCTCAGTCTCGGGTAGATACAAATAGGCGTAGATGAAACCAAGCATGCCAACTGTGCCGAACAAGCAATAAGAACCAGGCACACCAAGCAGATTCAGGATGCTCAAAAACGTCTTCGCGATGAGGGAGGAGGTTATGTAATATAACGCAGCACAAATTCCACTTGCGAAGGAACGGCCCCTGAAACAAATGCAATTGCAAATACACGGTCGGTTTTCTACTGAGAGTTTAGAGGAAAAAAGCTCATCGGGTTTCGCACTTTTTTATTTCGCCTTCAGTTTTTGAGGCAGGCCACACATTCATCTCCGTGCAATAATAGTTAAATCAAGTCGAAAATATTTGTCTTTTGTCGTTTAAAAATCTTGTCTCGCAGTTAATTTTATGTCAGACTTTGACGCACGATTTTGATAACTTTTTTTTCTCTCTTCAAATGGGCCTATTACGAACTTTTGATAGAGCAAAAATAGAAGTTGTTTCTATGAGTAAGTGTCTCAAAAATTACGATGAGCGCATTGGCAAAGTTTGAAATGCACTCCTAACTTCAAAATCTGCAGTACCCTGGTGCTCAGGGGTTGGATAGGACAACACCTCTTGCGAAATGTTCACCTGTTCCGTAGTATCGTTTTTGAAGCGGGAAGCTTACAAACAGGGCCGGATTAAGGGGGTGGCCACATGGGGCACGGCCCATGGCGGCAAAATGTAGAGGGCGGCAAATTTTGCAATCTTTATGAATGTAGGTATCAAAAAAAGAGAGGAAAAATTGGATTCAGAAAATAAATTACAAACGAGAAGAGGCAACAAAATCTCTCATTTCCTGAGAGTAAAAGTATAGTAATTTGTAATTCTGTCGTCTCTCGGTGATACAAGAGACAACACCTTTAATTAGTCGAGTTAAGAGAGAAACCAAACACGCAATTTGACCTGCAACGGAGCGGGGCGGCGGTCGACATGTAACACATAGCGCCTACAAGACTGCATGAATACTTCACGCATTGCGTCAAACACACTGCGGTCAGCCGCAGCACAGTCGGCTTGAAACGCATAGCGCCTACAAGACTACATGAATACTTCACGCATTGCGCCAACACAGTTCGGTCGGCGCGGCGGTGGAAGGAAACCTTGTCAATGCGTTCATCGTGATTTTTAAGACATTTACTATTAGAAAAATGTCTTATTTTTGCTCTAGCAAAAGTCTGCAACAGGCCCATTGATATGCTTAATAATAAATACAAATTAAAATATATAACTTTTCTCCCAGGGTTCTTTGCTACTTTCAGTGCTTCCTTATTGTCAGTGCACACACACAAAACGCAACCCACTGATATAATCGTATTCACCAGGAAAAGAATTACTTTAAAAAAAAGCGTTCCCAGGATAAGAAAATGTATCTTTTTTCTCAAATATTATTCTTGCTTTTGTTCCAAAGTCACAGAATAGTGAAAGTCACCTGTGTAATAAACGGTTTGTTTTTAATCGGTGGTAATAATGTGGTTTTAACGTGATGATATCGAGAAAATTTACCTCACTGCCACTCTAATCAGACTGAAAAAATACCTACATATTCGCACTGCCAGTTTCTTATTTTTAGAAATTAACTCTATTTGACGCCAAAAGATGATCGATTACCGGTATGTCGTGCTAAAGAAAAGCAAAATAGATTTCAATGAAGGATAGGCTTTTATAGCACGTAGACTTATACGTTCGTTCAGGTACATGAAAGTTTATCGATCGTTCTGATGTTTATCCTCGTTTTTCATATACTCTAATATTCTGATTTGTGCCATCATTTTTGCAAAAATTCGCTCTTTTAAACGGGCTGAATAAAATATAAACATAAAACAGACCTTTCGTTTTCCCTGAATATAATGTGATATCAGAAAGGCAGTCTCATGGTGAGAATCTTACCATCTCTCCGCTAGAAAGTAAGAGAAATAGAAACGCCTTCAATTTTTTGCGTATGCAACATAGACGGCCGTCAAGTACGAATAGTTGTATCTCAGGGTAAGGCGTTTTAAGGATCTATTTCTCCCCGGCAGTAGTAGAGTCAGTATCATAGAGATATTCCAAAGAATATAGATACTAACCTGAAAGGGAAGATTTCACTCATGAGCATCCACGGAACAGGCCCCAGTCCAAAGCTAACGGTGAGTGTAAGAATAATGAAATAGGAAAAAAGGAACCAGTTTGCGGAAGCTCCAAATGCATCCTCGATTGCAGTTTGGAAATTAACGTGGACAGCAATCGCCAAGTCAAAAAAGGCCACGCAAAAAATTGAGATCAAAGCAATCCTCCTTTTTCCCAGCCATTTTACGGCCAGCATAAGGACCAGGTGACCGATGATTATTGCCGATGATACGCAAACCTGCGTTGCAAAAAAAGAAAGATACATACTTAAAAAGTTTGTAAATATTTTTTCAGCGGAAGGCTCCTCGTCTGATTTTGAGTTGAGAGTGAACTTAGTATCTACACATGTATGACACACCTTCAATTGCCAGAGATAAGAGAGCATACTCTGTCACGTTCAAAAAATGTCTTGCTCCCTATCTTTGCATGGAGAGTTCGTCTTGATGTAGAGGTGGACTCTCAGGATAGCGTGGGATATCCCCTCAATTTTGGCCCAACTTGAGAGCTTTTTTTGAGCTTGGGAGTTGATTTCAGAGAAAACCAGTGGCACCATCGTGTTTTTTTGCGAACTTTTACATAAGAATCAGGAGCCAAACCGCAAATTCCTCACACATGCAACATCTCCATTGGAAGAAAAATAATCATAAGTTTACCAGAAAGTTCTTGTTTTATTAATGGAAACTTGGCAACGCCTGAAGGCTCATACGGCGTTTTTCCTTGGCACTGCAGCGTACACTGGGAAAAAAGAAACACATTGTATCTAGAGTCCAGACTCTTAAAAACATCGACAAGAAAAAGTACTCTTGATTAAATCAGAGTCTAGCTTAAATCAAGAATCAAGCCTCTTAATTTAAGCGGATTTCGTTTTGATTCAAGCAAAAATCCGATTGAATCAAGAGTATTTTTTCTTTTTAATGTTTTCAAGAGTCTGGACTCTAGATCCAATGTGTTTCTTTTTTCCAGTGTAGTTCCGCTTTTCAAAGGGGGTGCTTACCGATGCCCAGTTGGCGTTCATGGGAACTCGAATCCGCTGGAAGAGGAGAACCATGTAGGTCTTGAAGGCCGGAAAGCCACTGCCCAGGTAAAAGAAGTTCATCGTCATGATGACCAACATCGGTCTTAAGATCTCGGGCCGAAGTAGATCCTTGGCTTTCTCACGGAAACTGAGCTTAGGTGAATGCAGCTCGACCAACGGGTCTGGGATTGGAGGTCTCGAGCTTGGACATGTCACTATTGACTGAGAATTCCCTGAAATTAACATATTATTTAGATTTTAAACAACTACAGTATAATTAAAATATGTCTCGGGTACGCATAATTTGATTGTAAGTTAAAGGTAAAAGCTCAAATTGTGACTAGGATAGAATTTTTTAGTGTTAAATCGGAAAATTTTACCCGTTGAAAAACTGCCGTTAAATAACACAGCGACGGAATAAGTCGGCGATCACATAATTCGGTTTGCGACGTCGCAGACTTACTGTCATTCTTCATTTTTCAAACGGAAAACTACTCATGCGCAATTCTATAAACTACCGTGATTTTTCCCCTCTGTGCGAAGAAAATTCTGCATAAACTTCAAAGAATGATGCCAATTTGTTCTCCTAAAAAAATAACAGAGGCGGAGATTTTCAGACACCACAAACGAGATATGTGAATGAGGACTTACGCCGTCGATATACATTAGTAAGTAGAGGGATAAGAGGCAAAAATTTAATAATATCCAAGTGATGTGCCAATAAACAGCTTTTAAATACATATATACACTATCTCATGCGATTTGCTGGAAAACAGAAGTATTCCGGGCAACATGTAATTTGCGAGCCAAGTGGTACATATGCAGGAAAAACCTAAACCATTTTGGATTTAACAGTCTGAAATACTGAGGCACGCCCGAGAACTTTTCCGCCCTTCTTGAGAGGAAAGTTTTCTCGATCGAACAAAAAATCCGCCCATTAAGGTATTCAATATTAATCTCATTCGTTTATTTTGAATCTGAAAGGGCGCGTCGCGTCGCCGCTGACGTCACTGGCGCTTTTTAATTCCCATTCATTCTTACGGCCCTCGACTAACGAGCACGAGCACACTCCTTCTTTCCCACCATAAGCGGATCCAGCAATTTGGCAGCACCGGATTTCCTCCACTTAAGCCTATGTTGAATAATCGATTTTTGTCGGAGCACCTGGCTCCTCCGGCAATCGATACATTTCCATAGGTTCAGATGAAGAAATAGCAACGTTGCCAATTTGCTGGATCCGCCAACACTGGAAATAAAAAAAAAACATCGGATCTAGAGTCCAGACTCTTGAAAACATTGACAAGAAAAAGGACTCTTGATTCAATCAGATTTAAGCTTAAATCAAAAGGAAATCCGCTCAAATTAAGAGGCTTGGTTCTTGATTTAAGCTTAAATCTGATTGAATCAAGAGTATTTTTCTTGTCGATGTTTTTAAGAGTCTGGACTCTAGATCCAATGTGTTTTTTTCCAGTGAAAGTTTCCCACCTGTCTCCGGTTCCGTTTAGCAGAGTTTCGTCTCCCACCGTCGTCATGTTCCCAAATGTATTGCGTCATACAGGTGTGCATGTGTCAGTGAAGTTCAACTGTACCTTGATGAGAATTTGTTTCGGACTTTTTCGTCTCAGTTTGGTGGCGGTATTGTGCGTTGTTACTGGCCTCAACGAGTCGGGAAAACTCCTCGGCCACGTCTTCCGGGGACACCCAGCCTCTGAGCCAGCAGAGCGCTTTCTCCGCATCCCGTGTCCGGCCCTTCGAGAGCAGCCACATTGGAGTCTCTGGAATCTATCGAAACAAATCCTGTCCATCAATCAGGAAAATGACGGACCTTAACTTTAGCTGTTAGATTCCTTCGCTTTTATCCGTCGAAAAATTCAATCGGCGCACAGTGGATCGAATCAAAGGGAGAGGTCGGACAAAATTTGGAAACTTTAAGAGCTTATAACTCCGTTCACACAAAATTTTGAGGTTTTAAAAGTGGTCCCATTGGTTTTCTCGTGAAATTTTCCGTCAGATGCACCCCTTATAATTTAAAATGTGACGATTCAAACATTGAAATTTGCAGTTTTAGTTAAAAAGTTCATGTCCAACCTCTCCTTATGACTCAATCCACTGCGCGGCCGTTACACAGAAAAAATTAAATTGCTGATTTAAAATTCAATTGCTGAAAAAGTGACTGCAATGTTTCAATGTAGATTTTACAACAATGAAATGATACTTTAACCATCCCCGTGGTTAAACTATCTTACAATAGCGGTTAAAGTAGCATTTTCTTGTTCTAAAATCTACGTTGAAACATTGTAGTCACTTCATTTAGCAACCCTGGTAAAAATTAACAAAAATTAACTGGTTAATTAATAAGAGCTGCGTTTCAAAATACCATGGGAATTCTTACAGCCGGCTAAAGAAGGCTACAGAAAATCATATAGCTGGCTGTAGAATGCGGAGAAAATCATACGGCCGGACTATACGAGGCGATAAACAATTATGCAGCCGGGCTATAGTTCCTATCGCCGGGCTTTACACTTTATCGCCTGCACGGAAAAAACGAGTTTAGGGCTGGTACCTGCACCGAAGGTCCCAGCCCTAACCGGGAAGGTAAAATTGCTTCACCTCCACCGCCATAGGGGCAGGCCCGGCGCGCGTAGAGCCCAAATCTACCTGCTTCAGGGTTCAGCCCTACCTGGTAAGAGGTAGACCCTGTCCAGGTATGGCTGGGCCTTACCCACGCAGGGCCTGCCCCTGTGGCGGTGGAGGTGAAGCAATTCTAGGGCCCAGCCCTAATCTCGTTTTTCCAGTGTGGCTGTTGCTTTTTCGCCATCGATTAAGGCTATAAGAAATTGTGTAGAAATTCGTGTGCTTTGGAAATCATTAAGTTTGATACGGAACCACCTTAATATTGACAAAACACACATTATATTTTACTTTAATACATATTTCTTTCATCAATTAAAATGAGAATAATCCATACAGGATGTGCAAACATTTCAAAATCATGAGTTGAATAACGCTGACTCCGCCAGATTAAATATTAGAGCCTCACACAAAGCGGCGACGCACTGGCGCCTACAAACCTAACAGGGATACTTCACGCACTGCGCAACGCGTGAAGTATCCCTGTTAGGTTTGTAGGCGCCAATGCGTGTTTCGCGGTGGCTGCCCGCCTGCCATGGCGCTTGAAGCAACTATTTCACACCAGAGGTATTGCACAGTATCATACGAAACTGAAGGCGCTCTAATATATTAGTAATGGCAGGCATCCATAAAAAGTGCGGAGCTTTCCTCGCAAAATAAATCAAGATACTACGGCCAAAAAAGAAAGCAGTATTCCAAAAACTCACTAAGTCCTAGCATCCGTAATTAGTAACGTTTAGCATACACTTTATCGCCTGGCTGTTGCTTAGTCGCCATCGGCTATAAAAGGCTATAAGAAATTGTGTAGCCATCTATGGAAGCTATTGGAAATCTTACAGCCGGCTGTAGGTCTATGGTATTTTGGAACACAGATTCTATTGCCAATTTTTACCAGGGAATTGAATTGTTAAATATCAGCAATTTAATTTTTTCCGTGTAGCTTCGGGAATTTTGATGATTTTGCTCTGGCGTCGTGCTCCTAGTCGATTATTTTCCCTGAGGACGTCCTTGTGTCTAAAGCAATTCAGTGTTAAAACAAATATTTATGTTTAAAAAAAACCATAAGAAAGCCCGCTTAATGTATAAACGATCTAAAATTTAGAATCTGAGGAAGGAAAAATCTAGGCAGATTTAGATAAAAAAAATCATCAAAAAGACTCAGATCCGTGGATTGTCGTCTCCGCGCCGTCGCCGCTGACGTCACTGGCGCTATATAATTCCCATCCATTCTTTCGGCCCTCAATTAACGAGCACACCCATTCTTTTCCCCCCGTCTTTAGTTCCTTTTAGCATAAGTACATCAGATTTATCTATATATTCCATCTAGTCACCAGAAATGACTGGATTTGTTCATTTTTCGACCTTATCTTGAATTTTTCGTTTATCTTAGCCATCAGCCGTTATTTTAATGACTGGACTTACAACTAACGTTACATACATTGTAGCCAGCCAATCACGCTTAGACTAGTTGTCTCTTTACCTATAACGTCGATGACGTCACCAAGTCTATATAAGCGTGGGCTCCACTTTTTCGGAGTCCCTTTCACCTTAGACCCATGTCTCGAGCATGCGAATGCCACATCTCGCCTTTTTGGCATCCAAAGTGTGAGTTCCATAGTGATTCTCGTGTTTCAAAATGCTTTCCTCATTACAATCTTTCGGCCCATTTAATATTTAGCTTTCATTAGCTCTCCCACATCCTAATCATAGTTATAGCGCTTTAATTCACACCCAGTTTATAAGTCTATTCTTATTATTGATGTTCTTAAATCTTTTATGGAGCTCAATCAATTTTTAGAGCACGGGGTGCCTCTATAATTGCAACAACTGCAGTAACGATTGCACGTCTGTTCCTCTATGACGTGACTACAGTCGAACATGGTCAAACAGCCGAGAGCAACTATTCGTACTCCCAAGCCACCCACATTGCCTAGTCGGGATATTGAAGGCGAACCGGTGTTACGAGCGTGAAACAGGACGACGGCGGTATAGTAATAAGTGTGTTTTTGCCACTGTTACCTAGATAAACGTTCGCAATGAGCAACTGGTGCTGCTTTCAAGTATTTCGCATTACCCCCTAAAGTTTTTAGAAAACGGGGCGTTACTGTCATCTAACCGCGAGTGCAGAAAGTATAGCGCGGTTGTGCCTGTTATTACAACCAAACGTGATCAAGCAGCTGGAGCAACTATTCCCGATCGCAAGCCACTCACATTGCCTAGCCAGGAAATTAAAGGCAAACTAGTTTTACAAGCACGAAACACGATCATCAAAAGAATGCGTGTGGTTACGTCGCCTAAAACCTAATAAACTTGCACACTCAGCAACTATTGCTGCCTTTAAGTCTATTGCATCACCAAATAAAATTTTGAAAATGGAGCGCTTAAGAAGATTTTAAGTCAAGGAAGAATCGAGGAGTATGTCTTATAACTCAGATGAGTGCTGAATTTTCCTGGAAGATGAATTGGACTGCATTTTGCAATTTGGAGCTATAAATTCTGGCTCATCTGAAAAAACACTCATGTGCGTAAGAAACTAGTGGCACATACGTTGTTTTTAAACCAGGCCGGAATTTATAGCTCCAAATTGCAAAATGTAGCCCAATTTCATCCCGAACCCCCCAGCTCGGAGTTTATCCTACTCTGAGTGCGCATTGACATGGAATTGAACACGTTCCCAACTCTCTGAGTCCTTCAACGGTGAAGCCTTGAGTACGTTCAGAAATTGATAATGGTGAAAAAAGTTACCTGAGATATGCACAGAAAGGCTGTGGCAGGAAAGAATAAACTGATGAATGCAACATTTCTCCACGTGGTCACACTGCCAAGGAGGCACTGGAGGAAAAATCCCGCGGAGCAAAACTGAAGGGAGTATGAGATCAAGATCCCTCGAAGTGATGGCTCACAGATTTCGCCCACGTAAGTTAGCACTGGCGCATCCATGAACCCGGAACCTGTGTTTGAATAACTAAAAATCATTACAAAGGCTAATTATTGGCAGTGCAGCACAAGGCGCAGTGACCAATTTGCAAACTTGCAAAATCGTACGAGGAACATGGGGAATAGATCACTTGGAGATAGATTTCTTATATGAAGATCTCTAGGACGAAAAACGTGCCACCTCCATTTAACTCTAGGAGTTACAGAAATGAGTATTTATTTTAGCCGATGAAAAACTTTAAGACCGAGCCCAAAATGTCCCAGTGCATACCTGAGACTCTAATGAACAGTGTTGGTTCGACTTGGAGACCAATATGCGTTAATTATGTTTTTCCTCCCCATTTAAAGGACACAATGTCCTCCCCGCTTTCCCGTTCCTTGGTCGCATCCCTTAGTTTCTTTGTTGTTGCAGCTGCCGAAGTCATTTTCTTGCCCAAGAAAAGCCCCTTTAGCTATCCGATTTCCTTCGATTGGGTTTCGTAATGAATACCATTCCAATTGCTCCCTGTAGCTCCTCTCTCCGTATGAAATCATGAGCTTCGGGGTTCTCGTTCACTCTGATGGACAGTTTTTTTTTTTTTTTTTTTTTTTTTTTTTTTTAAAGAATATAAGCTTATTGTAGTAATAATTACAAAATATACAATTTGACGAGACATATCGTCATCCTTATAGGAGGGTGCCATACCTAGTATATATCCATTTAAGGGCAATCTAATGGACAGTGGAACATCTAAATTTTGAAACAATGTAGTTGTAGTGTGTAGAGACATGAATAGATTTTGTGTGTTAAATTCGTTTGTTCCTAGTGGGAAACGTAAAATATTAATGTTTGTTGGACAATTTTGAGCCCCTAAATACTGCAGATTAAAAAGAACTTGAATTGCAATACCAGAATCTAAACTTTAAGTATAATTCTATACTAAAAGTACTTTTATCGGTGGTGGACAGACACAGATATGATATGCAATTCTTGGCTCTATTATTTCTTCTTTCGAATGCTTAAGTCTTTTTTCTATGATGCCTATCTAAACATGGAGGAGTTTGTTCTATATATTTTGTACCTAAGCCCTGGATCGCAGCTGCTAGGTACATGATCTCGACTGAGGTTGCTGAGTGCAGCATTAGCCAACCTAAAATCTGTGGGATATTTACCAACATCAAGGATTTTTTTCTCCCAAGGGGTCCAGAGATTAGCCCTGATAGTGCACTTCCGAGCGGTTGGCATAACATGGGCAAACTGGCTGAAAAAATCGAAGAGTCAGGTTATTATTGCGTTTTATGGAGTGGAATTTACTTAATTTAAAAGAAAAAGGATCCATCGTGGGATCTTTCAAGTGGTCGTAGAGTTTTGGTTAGAGTAGCAACGTTTTTTTCTAAGTCCATAGCTGATTGCCATATTACTACTGCATAAAAAATGATTGACATAATTGCATTTATTAATAATTTCCTTTTCATAAATGAAGGACCATGTAAATTTGGGAGAAGACTTCTAAAGACATATTCGACTTTGGTAGCCCTCTTGCACACTGTCTCTAGATGTTTTATCATTGACAAATTGTTACTTAAGTAAATTCCTAAATATCTCATGCTTTTCTTGGTTTCAATTTTTTCTCCACCTATTGAAATTTCAGCGATTTGCTCTTTTCTCTTTCCCGAAATAACTACCTCTTCAGATTTAGAGCATTCTAGATCCAAAGATTTCTTCTTCAAGTTAGTTTTTATATTATTCGATACATATTCTGTATCTATTTTAAGAGTTCTAAGATTAATTGTAAACAAGTTGGATTTTGCAATCGCTAGCGATAGCAATATTCGTCATGGGAACGTTAGCTTCTGGGATATGAAAATGTTAAGGTACAGTTCGTTTGTAGTATCATCTGAATTGAAGGGGCTATGTAATTTTGTGTTGACATCTCTTTTTAACATTTTTAATTATTTTCTTTGCATACAAAAAAGCTGTTATGTACCAATTATTTATTTTCGTTGAATTATATATGGTTTTCGGAAGTTAACGCATTTTGTTTCAGGTTCGCTTTTTCGGCGTAAAGTATACGTAAGGTGTCCCAAAAGCACCGGGACTTGTTCTGTAACTTCGAAAGTAAGATAGATACAGACATGATCTTGATTTCATTTTAAAGATCAACT